TGTCTCGCAGTTTGGGGTATAAAAACAAATCCCCTGATAGAAAAGTGACCGTAGCGACCGAAGCGGGTGTTTCCGACAACGTCATCCGTAGCCCTGAGAACACCGGCATAGTAGCGTTTGGATCAACTCCTGCATAATCTGACACTGCTTCTATTTCTAATACCCACAATCAAAGTACACATGCAGCATCTGCTTTGTTTCATAACTGCACCTTTAGTGGAACAATTAATGTCAACATAAGAAACACAAAATAGTAAATTCGACAAAGATAATAAGTCCACAGCACATGTTGTCAGAAATGGCGCACAGTGCGCGCTGCCTGTAATTTCTGATGATGATAATTTATTCACAGGTCGAGAGTGCCGAAAATGCTACAGAAATGAAGTTTATATAATATAATAGCAATATTGCTTAAATAACATTATCTGACTATAAATAAAATACATATCTCTACAAATTACATGGAATTATTTTGTTAGGCACCATTGTTAAACTTTGTTGAGCACCTTTTCTATATGAAAGTCTAACTCACCGACTTGCTTTTTAACCAATTTCTGTAAAAAAACCAATGGAAAATAATATTAGAATATAATAATAGTAATTAACAACAAGTGTACTTGGCATATGTTTCATAAACTGTGTTTGTATGGGTTGTGTAATCTCCATATTGAGTAGACTGAATCCCACATATACTCATGTATGTAATTGACATGCCACAACATCAAGATATAAAAATCAAAGAATAAGCAGGGCCATCACAATATATTCAATACTCAGTAATGAAAACTATATATAATGCCACACATTTTTCTCACAGACAAGAGACAATCCTATTTAAGACAAAGTTATTGCTACATGGGTACACGAATAATATGTGTTTCTCTCCACGGACAGCACCGTCAGACGGGCAGCTTTTCACACAGTTATAAATGAAGCGAGCATGGAATGTAGGCTGAGATTATTTTTCTTACTTCTGAGTACCTATCTGACCGCGTTAGTCAAACCGGTGTTATTTTTCTCCATTATAGCACTCGGCTGATGTATGATGCAATAAATAGAACACATCTCAATTCACATTCACATCGTGATATTAAATTTTGGATAAATAATCCTAGTGGCAAAATCAGTTTGCTAAGCATAGTAATTCAAGCAAATCAAAGTGTCTAATAAAATATGAACCTACCTCGTGTGGAGCAGCTAGAGTGATGCTTGCCATTGAAATTAACACTACCCAATACAACATCATCTTTGACTTAATAATCGACAGAAATATATAGTTGAAATAATTTGCTCAGCAGCAAAAATACAACTGACAGTTTGGACCTGTTACCAATCAAAATAAAGGTTTTAGCTGATGACGTGCATTCTTGTAGTAAACATCATCTGTTGGGGATTATATTTTCACGATTATAATATTTGGTTCGTGGTGTGTACTCTGGTTCATAGATCAAGTTGAAGTTAGGCTATGTGAAGGAGCTAGATCAAGGCAGTAAATGTGATAACCGTAATGCAATTACAAATAACATATTCAGAAATCTATTACATGCTTAAGAAGTCATTGTCTTTGTAATGAGTCATCTCCCTCAATTCCTACCGAAATGTTGTGGGATAATTTAAAAATAACTATAGATTTTCATTGCTACCGGTCTTTGACAACAGTTTTGAACAAATATAGTTAAGACTTTCGTTTTGTGAATAATGACCGTAGTAGCACTAGAATGTAGCTCTGTCGTAGGGGCACATGTTCTTTGAAAAGTTACAAATATCATTGGGGTTTATGGGTCCGAGGTTGATCTGGTAGTTTACATGAACTGTAGAAACATATTTTATTACACCAATTTAATAAGACGTATACCACAGCAGTCATCGAAAATATTTAAGATTTTTTTGTTGTTGGGTATAATCATAATTTGTTCATTCATATTAACTATGTCCTGGTAGATATTCATGTTCATAAGCAGTAACATATCAAATTCTGGCACGATATAGCAGTGATAACATTATCTGTACAATGAGCTATAATATAAATATTAATATGTAAAAAAATATTAGTTGTTATACACATTGGAAAGCCAAGGCTATGGTTACCATATGTTCACCTCTCCTACTGTATTCAAACAAAGCATATACAGCACGCATGATAATCTGTAAAAACATGTAATTAATTATGCTTCAGCTGAGTTCATTAAAATATTATTGCCAACTCGCATACAATACAATATAATAGGCACACCTAGCTATTAACTGGTTTCAATGACGTCTACATGACTTCCAATGACCTATGCACGGGTTTCATTAACATTACACGGGTTTTAATGAAGTAGTCACAGGTTTCACATTCCTGGCGTAGGCCAAGTAACGCTGTCTTGGGGTGGGATATTCTTGTGCTTCAAAATGTTCTTGGGAAGGTTACGAATGAAGAAACTTGCTGTAGGATATCGTATGGATTATGGACCCACTTTGATCTGGTAGTTTACAAAAGAATCGTAGGAACATATGGAATTACACCTGCATTTTAATAGAACGTACACAACAGCAGTCAGCACTTTTTGGTGTACATAATGAAGAAATGTACCTTCATATTGACTTCATAAACATACAAAAAAAATAATTATTCCTTGCTGCTGCAGCACACATTGGTTCTTTGTTTATTATTACCACTGTAAGCGTGCATAACAACTGTGTTTCTCTACAACGAACATTTTTTGAGCTTTGCACGAATATCAAATGAAAGTTATATATGTCATCTAAGAAAATTAAATCATGTCCTGGTAGAGATTCACGTCCATATTCAATACCAAAGCCAATTTTGACGCGATACAGCAGTGATAAGATCATCTGTACAACGAGCTAAAGTATATTCGGTGTAATGCAACACAGAAAAATATGAAAAATAATGTTAGAAATATTAGTCGTTATACACATTAGATAGCCAAGATTAAAAATGCCACATGTTGAACAACCTGCCTATTGCGTTCAAACAAAGCAAATACAACGCGCATGATAATCTGTAAAAACATATAATTAGCTATGCTTCAGTTGAGTTCAATAATATCAATGGCGAGGCGCAGAACTGTAAAAAAAACATATAAAAATTACGGAGTTAGTATTTGCACTTTCAACTTGAAATATTAATGCCAATTCTTTTACAATGTGTATTACAAATATTCATCTTTGTAATAATTTTTCTTTCTTAGTTCAATTGTTATGAACTGGATATCTCTAAGAAATGATGGTACGCCGATGATATATTTTCTCCTACGAGCTAAATATAATATGTTTTTACTTCATCAAAAATTCATGTGTTACATGCTCATAATATTGACATCGAAAAATAACATCTATATGACAACCGTGACACAACATTGTGAACTAATGTAAGCAAATAACACCGAATAAACGGCAAGGTAAAGACTATGTATAATTATAGTAAACACGTACTGCGTGCGAGACTCGAACCGGCGCTCGTGTACGGCACCTAATCACCTAGCTTCACGCCACTACACGTCTTCCCCTCGGCCACCGGGCATCCCCAAAAAAGGATGCTTAATAACCGAGCTTATTACGTGCAGAGCTTAACTAATGATTTTTTTTCAAGTGTCCATTCAAAAAACATGGCCTTCAGCCTTCAGCTTTGGGGCAATAACTGTGTATTAGCGAAATAGAAAAATATCACCTCAACGCACCATTTTCGTAGTTCAGTTTGATCACAAACATTTTGTAAGGCAATTTTACAAGACAAACTTCCGTGTTTCAGCTTGCAACGCGTCAATGTTTGTGGTAAGGTGCCAGCTCCTGAGACAGTCCAATGAACTGAGCATATGTTTTTTTGTTTCATTTCTACAATCAAATAAATTAATTGATTATCATACTGTAATACTATAATTGTATTTTTTTTCTTCTGCCAATTGTTATGAACTGGATATATCTAAGAAATGATGATACGCTGGTAATATATTTTCTCTTATAATCTAAATATAATATTGGTTGACTTCATCATAAATTCATGAGTCACAGCTCATGATAGTGACATCGGAACATAAAATCAATATTGTGACAAAATCAATCGTGACACGACATTGTGAACTAATGATTAAGACAGCATGTGTATACGCATGTTTTTTAGTTTTCACGTGTCCTTTCAAAAAACATGGCATCAGCCGTCGGCTTTGTGGCAATAACTGAATACTAAAAAAATATCATCCCAACGCCCCATTTTCATAATTCAGTTTGGGCCCACATTGTACTCGCAGATTACAAAAAAACTATAGGAACTTATCGAATTACACCTGCATTTCAATAAGACGTACACTACAGCAGTTAGCACTTTTTATAATGTATAAATATATATATAATGTATAATGATGAAATGTGGCTTCATATTGACTACATACACATAAATTAAAGATAAATTAATAATTCCTTGCTCCTGCAGTGACATTGGTTCTCTGTTTATTGTTACCCCTATAAGCGGGCATAACAACTGGGTGTTACTATAACGGACAAGTGTTGAGCTATGCACGAATATAAAATGAATGTTTTATATGTTTATCTAAGAAAATTAAATTTGGAATAAATTAAAATAGTATCCTGGTTGAAATTCATGTCCATATGCAGTATCATAGCCAATTCTGTCACGATATAGCAGTGATAAGATCATCTGTGCAAACTGGTTTCAATGACGTCAACATGACTTTGAATGACCTCTGGACGGGTTTCATTGACATTAAATGGATTTTAATGAAGTAGTAACGGGTTTCAATATGAGATACACTGGGCGATAAATCACTTTCCTTGTTTAAGTCAAGTAGCGCTGTCTTGGAGAGCAATATTATTGTGTTTCACCATGTTCCTTGGAAAATTATGAATGAAAAAACTTACTGTAGGATATCGGAGGGGTTATGGGACCACATTGATTTGGTAGTTTACAAAAGAACTGTAGGAACATATCGAATTACACCTGCATTTTAATAAGACGTACACTACAGCAGTTAGCACTTGTTAGCGTGCATAATGATGAAATGTACCTTCATATTGACTTCATACAGATATATAAAAAGTCAAATTAATTATTCCTTCTCTTACAGCCCACATTGGTTATATGTTCGTTATTACCACTCTTAAGCGTGCATAACAAATGGAACTTTTTTTTAGTTTTGCACGAATATTTAATGAAGCTTATATATGTTTATCTAAGTTCATTAAATTTGAAATAAATTAAAATTATGTCCTGGTTGAAATTCATGTTCATATGCAGTATGATGGCAAATTCTGACGCGACATAGTCGTGATAAGGCCATCTCTACTATAAGCTAAAGTATATTCTGAGTAAAGCAACACAGGGAAAATTGTAAAATAATGTTAAAAATATCAGTCATTATACACATTAGAAAGCCAAGTATGTGGATGCTTTATGTTGACCACTTCTATTTCATTCAAACAAAGCATATATAGCACGCATGATAATCTGTAAAATATATAATTTGTTATGCTTCAGTTGAGTTCAATAATATTATATGATGGCTGACGAGGCGTGGAACTGTATGAAAAATATTTTAAAAAAATCCATATGAAAATTACGGAGCTAATATTTGCAATATCAAACTTTCAATTTGAAATATTATTGATAATTCGTTTACAATGTGTATTACAAATATTAATTTTTAAAATTATTTTTCAACTTGGAATATTTTATTTTTAATTATAGCTATGACGACTTTTTTGTTTTTCTAGCAATTGTTATGAATTGGATATCTCTAAGAAATAATGATACGCTGGCAATATGTTTTTTCTTATAAGCTAAATATAATATTGTTTGACTCCATCATAAATTCATGAGTCACAGCTCATGATAGTGACATCGGAAAATAAGATCAATATGACAATCGTGACACAACATTGTGAACTAATGATTAAGACAGCATGTGTATACGCATGTTTTTTTGTTTTCACGTGTCCTTTCAAAAAACATGGCATCAGCCGTCGGCTTTGTGGCAATATCTGTATAGTGAAAAATATCACCTCAACGCCCCATTTTCATAATTCAGATCAAAAAAAATTTTGTTTGGCAATTTCACAAAGCAAATTTCCGTGTTTCGGATTACAACGCGCCAATGTTTGTGGCGGGGACCATAGACGTACTCAGTTTAAGATGCTAGCTCTTGAGACTAATAAATATCAGTCGTTATATATAGAAAAAATGTTTTTTGGTCATTGTGCCCATATATTTCGCAACTTCATAGCGCCCTCAATTGACTAAGAGGTGCAGCCTGCTAAATTTGTGTACTGTAAAATATTTTATTCAAATAAATGAAAAAAATA